TCTTGCCATGCACAGAGGTGAGACTGACCGGAGTCACTGCTGGAGTGCTTATTGTACAACTTTGTTTTTTGTTCTGAAATAAACACCAATTTCTCTTTGAGAGCAGTTTTGTAGGTGAAGTCCAGCTTTTGCTGCACTACCAAAACAACTGCTGTTTCCTTTGATTGATAATATTGGGCCAAGTTGTTATTCCTAGGAGGCATGAACTTCATGTGGGTCCCAGGTGGTCAGTTTATTAGTTTTCTCCTCTAAATTAGGAGATCAAATAAACAGTAGGAATCCATATCATATTGGTGGAACTAGGGGACAGGAGGAGTGTTTTCAGCCAGCCAGCTGGTGCTGGTTCTCCTACCGGTCTCTCTGTGGGTTGTTATGTTGGATGCTTAGGAGAGCTCCCAGCTCTGTCCCAGTTGGCACAGAGGTGCTGGGACTGCAGATGTCACCCTTGGTTTCCTCTTTCTAGCTATGACCTACAGATGAGTGTTTCTCAGAGATCAGCTCTTAAGCTGTTCAAGAATAATCTCTGAACTCTAAAGATGGTTGTGATGGGGGAAAGAAGACAGTTTCTTAGCTGGAGACCTCAGTTTGCATTTCTGAGTTGTGTCTGCGCTCTTCAACAGTCCTGGAGATGCTGGTGAAAGCTGAGAGCAGTTTGAACATTACTTAAACTGCGAACACAGGAGTCTCAAAAGCAGATGCTGGGCCTTTCCCTGGACACTGGCATAGATCTTGCAGTGGTAAATTGGGTTTACTAATGTGCCCAGGTCATCACAAGTCTTCCAAGGCACAAGATATATTATGGGAGATGACATAAAGTCAGTGCAAAGTGACTTCACCAGTGGCTAGGGGATAGCAGAGTTCATGACACTAAAATAAGTTGAAAAGATATATCAAAGGGGAGAGATCTGGCCTGAATACAGCAAAAGCATCCCAAATAAACATCAGAGGTATAAAGGGGCCAGTTCCCTGAGCTTTTGGAGGCTTAATGCTTCGACCTAGCTTATTGATGTCACACAGAAATACAAGTTACGTGTTCTTGTGGCCTGAAATTAAATAGAAGCAGCAGATACTGAGCACCTGTGAAACAGGGCCAAAAACCAATGCTGACTGCTAAGTGTATCCTCTGGGCAGGTACCACTCGGTATCACTGCGTCTGGCGGGGGAGCGGGAATGGCAGCTATTCATATAGTAAAACACGATGGATGTGAACACTGTGTAGTTGCTTTGCACTAAAAAAGCTACAACAGCAATGATATCTTGTAACACAGTTTTAAAGCACGTGTTTGCAAAGTACCTTGCATGCTTGATTTGCCTTTTAGTGGAATTGCAGAGTTGTGAATAAATAGCAGTAATTGAAAACTTGGCTCAAGCATTTTATCGGGTAATTGTCATCTTTCAAAAATAACTGACTCATGGGGTAATTGTCCTAAGGTTTTTTGCACCTACTTGATGACTGAATGGTGTCTCTTGAATTAGTCAAGAAAAAAAAAGACCCTCTTTGGCTTCACTGCTTTTCTAAGGCAGAGGGCTCTGCTTCAGGTGGTTCGGTTTCATTTGAATAGTCTGCTAAAAATGCAGCTGCTTTGCATCTCTTAAAATCCATCTTGAATCTGCTCTGCTGCTGCTGTCTCTTCATACAGGAGCTGTGCTGCCCATGCAAAGCTCTTGCCTTAACTTAGCCTTCCCCTTCACCCCCTACCTGCTCCTGCAGTGAAGCTAGAGGTTCTGCTAGTTCTTCATGGTTGCCGTTTGAGGACAAGTGCTCCTCAAAAAACTGGAGGCATATGTTTTCTGTTGTTTACATGAGTGTTTAAGGAGTTACTCTTGACAAAGAGCGTATCATGTCAAATCAGTGATCCAGGGTGCTTGTTTAAACTATTTAAAAATAGCACAAATAAATAATTGTAAGAAAAATAAAAAAAAAAACCCTAGAAGGAAGTTTTGAAAACCATAAATTGTAAAAAGCTAGAAATACTTGACTTCCTGTTCTTAGGTTGATTCAGATGAGTTTATGCAACTCTAAAGCATGTTTACATACTTACTATGGGATGGCAGAGATCCATACGTTAATTATGTGTTTCATTGTCTGATTTTTCTTTCTAGGTGTTGAGTATTGCACTTTCAACCTATGTTGTGAGCAGTACCCATGACAGTCTTAAGAACAAACAAGGATTGCCTATACTGAATCAAATTATTAGCTGGATGACTCTGGGTAAGAACATCGTCCCTCCCAAACTTGTATGCTGATAGTTTGTGAGGTTTGTGGTTGGGTGAGGGGCAGCGACACATTTTTATTAACAGCTCCCTTTTGTACATATTCCTTTATTTGACTCCTAATAGTTCTTACATATGCTTACTATTTGTTCCTGAGTGAGGTTTTTTTGAGGAGTGTGTTAGAAGGTCTTCTAAAATATTAATTCTTTGTAGGTTTGTGATAAAATGCAAACAAGTTTGATTTACAAGTAGCTTTATCTTTTGTTTTGAATATTCTGCATATCTTGAAGACCCCTTTTAGGGATATAATGGTATAAATTCCCCTTTTTGTGTCACTTGGAGCCAGATAAGGATAATCTGAGATGTTCTGCAAGCAATATAGTTAAGCATGAGGAAAG